GGGGGGTTGTATTGTTAGATCGTGCTAGGTTTTCTGAATTTAACAAATTGCTAAAATTTGGAGGATCGTGATTCCTGTAGTAAAAGGCCCAAAGTTAACTCCATTTCACTGTAAGACCTTCTTCTGCGCATTCATTTGTAGTCTTTACCATTATTTTTGTTTGAATTAGTCAAATTATTGAATGTTGGAGTGAAACTGGCCAAAATACATAATGAATAAGGAGGCATAGTTGATGTTATAGGGCCGACTCGATAATTACAGACATTCAAGAGTCCCTCAAATGCATGCTTTTGGGTTGTTATGTACAGTTGTAATTAAAGTCAAGCCTGTTTCGGAGCATTGAGTTTTGAGGAAGGTACATTTTTGCATAGTTATTCCAGGAGAAAGAATATAACACTGTAGAAATTTTGTAAAAGCATGTTACTTAGTATTTGGTAGAATTATTTGTAAAGCTACTTATATTATGGATTTTCAAATTGCAAAGTAAAATTTAACTCTTTAATTTGATAATAGACGAACTATCATTTGAAGTAAGGCCCAATTCAGGTTTAAAAATGAGCTTGTAATAACATTTTTTTCCAGTCTAAAAGCTCTTATCTGCTGCATTCCTAAAAGATGCCAAGTGAGCCAACATGCCTTTAGGTTAAAAAAAGTTTATGTTACTATTTTATATTTTCCTATGTTAGTGCGGTGTGTGGGAGGGTCCATTTGTGGTTGTCACAGTTTTTGATGATAACTTTAAGGGAAGTCAAAGAAGCTTCTTATATAATAGCGAGTTATGTTACAAGAGTCCTTGGTCAAAACAAAAGTTTATACACCTGCCTGGTTTGACGTAACAGACATGAAGGATGGTTAGTTAAAATAAATAGATATTATTTAAAATTACTTCTTGTTCTCCTCATTCTCAAAATATTAATATTTGCTTAAGGTTGAAATCTTTGAATACTTATATGTTACTTAGCATTAATGAAATCGTTTTTACAATTGTTACGTTTGTTTCTTACAATTTTGTATTAGTTTATTCCGTAATTCTTGGTAGCAGAGATGTTTATTTCTCTATTGTCTATTCAGTGATTCTTTATAGCTACTGCGGCTATAATGTTGTTCGCTTACTGGCCATGAATTTTATAATGTTCAAAATTGTAGAACTTTTGTACCAATTGCTACTTGGGAGCGATAAATTTTAATATTGATGGACTCTGAACAAACAAACAAGTGTCCCTACTATTGAAAGAAATGTCTTGATAGGAATGTTAGACTGTGTGAACAATATAAACTTAAGATGGCGAATGAAAAGAGTGTACTATCGTTACAACAAGTGCTTAGAAATCAAGCGCTGAAGCGTAGTCCCTTTGAAAGAGATACTTCTCTCATTTCTGCTGAGATAACAACAACATCAGGACATGTGCAGTGTACTCCTAATACAACAGACTCTTGCTCTACTCCCAAAATAGGTTAATATATCAATTGTATAATTTATCGCAATCTGTATAGTACACGCAATTGTTTCATTATTTATCACAAATGAAATTTCTCTCTGTGCATGAATATCTATCTTAAATTCAATACTGTGAACATTATTATTGCCTACTACGCAGACAGTAAGGTTACAGTCCTTTCATCATTCCCTGCTTTTGACAAGGGACTATTTGCATCTATGAGAAAGGTAAGTTACTAAAAGTTTCTGTACACTTACACCAATATACGAAACTCATTAAGGTTCATTGAAGAACTATTTATCTGTTGGGTTCGACGTCTGCTGCACCTAATAAAGAATACAACACAATTGAGATAGTGTTATTTCGTCTAAACACATGTTATTTTGGCTCAATATAAATGATCAGCTGCTTACTGTTACAACTATAGATGTCGACACCAAAATGCATCAGATTATTATTGCTTCAGTGCCATTAGCTCTTGAACCTCTTTCTGTAATCTCATGTTTTCTTCTGTCAGATTCTCAATACACCTCTTCAAGAACTCATAGTCCACTTGCTTCAATTTTGTCTTGTACGTCCACAGACTATTTTTTGAATAAATTTTTTTATGTATTAACGTATGTAGAGATAAGAAACATCAAATATTGATATTTTTGATTAGTAGAACTGTGAAAATCATGTTTCTTGTTTAAGAGATCTAACTGGAATAGTATTTTCAGTTTCTCATTTGGTGAAAATGTTCTCACCTAGCTTTTTTGTAGGGTAACATGCACCTATAGATGCTGATGCCAACATGCTTCAGGCAATTACTCTTATGATAATTTTTTCTGTGTAGTTGCACGATTTTTCTGCTGCTACTTGGAGACATGTTACATAAGCTCAGTATGTGAGCTTCAATTTCTCTATACATGTTGATTTGAAAAATAATTAAATCATCACTGCAATTGAAGATTAGAATAACTGCTTTGTTTATTATGATAAGTTAAAGTTTATTTCTCTCATCGTGTCTACCTCAACTGCTTATAGATTCATCTATTATGCAGGAATAGTTTATTTACCTATTGTTCATACAAGATTTAACGTCGACAAAACAAGTATCTACTCTTTCTGTGTTCAATAAAATTACTTGAAAACTTTGTCCCTTACCACTAAAATGTTAAATGTAGAGTAGTTCTGAGTGCGTTTCTATTTGCCCAAATTAACATTTAGTATGCACGTGTTGTTGTGTAACGACCTGACTTGTCGTTTTAAGAATTTAAGCCCCGTCTGTCGGCATAAGGCCCTGAGCAGCTTCTTATTATGTGTATTGACTTGCGTGCGTGGTTGAATTCAGTTACCGGATGATTCTGAGTGATTTGGGACACTTGGTCCCCTAAACGGAAGCTTAAGTCTTAGGATTTTTACCGTAGTCAGAACTGTGTGAAGACGACTCCGGAATGGAATTTTGATGATGTCAATAGCTCTGTATGGTGATTATGGACTTAGGAGCGTGTCCGAAAAATTATTTGGAGGTCTGTAGAGGAATTTGGCTTGAAATGACGAAAGATGAATTCTTGAGAAGTTTGACCGGGGGTTCACTTTTTGATATCGGGGCTGGAATTCGATTCTGGAAATTGGAATAGCTTCGTTATGTCAATTATGACTTGTGAGCAAAATTTGAAGTCATTCCAGATTGATTTGATGTGTTTCGGCACAAGATATATAATTTGAAATTTCAAAGTTCATTAGGCTTGAATTTGGGTATGATTCGTGGCTTTAATGTTGTTTGATGTGATTTGAGGCCTCGAGCAGGTTCGTGTTATGTATTTGGACTGGTTGATACGATTGGACGGGGTCCTGGGGGCCTCGGGTTTGTTTCGGGGTGGTTCCGGACCAAGTTTGGGTGTTTTGATGCTGCTGGTTGCTGGTTCTGGTGTTGTTCTTCGCGTTCGCGAGGAGCCTCTCGCGTTCGCGAAGAAGGATTTTGCTGTTGGGACTTTGTTCTTCGCGTTCGCGAAGAGGTTCTCGCGTTCGCGAAGAAGGAAATTTTGTTGTTCGTCGTCTGACTTTAGAGGCTCATATCTCGCAATCTATAAGGAATTCGAAGATGATCCAAAAATAAAAATTGTAACCATTTGTGTGTAGTTTTTAGAAAGGTAAACTATTTGCCATTTGGAGTTGTGTACAAAAAGTTATGGTGGATACGCTATAGGCTGTCCGGGAAGAGTTTGGAAATCTCTGTTGTACAGGGCTGATTTTGGAAGCTTATATCTCGCAATCTATAAGGAATTGGAAGATGAGCAACAAATGAAAGCTATAGCCATTGGAGTCTAGTTTTCAGAAAGTTAAACCATTCATAATTTGGAGTTTTGTACAAAAGGTTATGACCATTATACTAGAGGCTATCTTAGAAGAGTTTGAAAATGACTTTTGAAGAATTTGTTCATCGCGAACGCGAAGAACAAATTCCTGGGCAGCAGAATAAAGTCCAAATTCGTGTTATTCTTCTATGTTTGGACCAAGGAAGCTCGGGTGAGGTGATATTTTAAGAGTTTTTCAAGGAAAATATTTGGGTAAGAATTCTTAACTTGATTTTGGTTAAATTACATGAATCTATTGTTGTTTTTATCACTAAATTAGTGAAATGGGTTGAAAAATTTAAAAAACCCTCTTGGTTTAAATTTAAGATTTGGAGGTCGATTTGTTATTGGAATTCGATAAAATTGGTATGGTTGAACTCGTATCGGAATGGGTGTTCGAATTTTATGAAAATTATGTCGGGTTCCGAGAGGCGGGTCTCGCGTCGACTTTTGTTGACTTTTTTGGAATAAAATTTTAAGTCGACGTATTATTATCTGGAATTGTTTTCGATGAATTTTAATGAAGTTATACAATTAATTTGGATAGATTTGAGCGGTCCGGAGGTCAATTCAAGCAAGAAGGCGATTTT